CAGGTGCTGCCAGGAGGGGCTGGGGGGAGCCACAGGGAGCAGCAGCCCCTCAAAGGGAGCTGTGCACCTGATCCCAGCCTTGCCGGGCTGTTTCTCTGCACTTTCATTCAGAAATACCCTAAATGTACCTTTGTGCTGGAGACTTTTTTGTAAAATTAAGATCTTTTCCTTCAGTTTCATGAGGACCTGCAGAGGTCCTTCTGGAGAAGCAGAGTTGTTACCTGGCCAACGCTGTCCCACATTCCAGCACCACCTTTTAGAGGTTTTTTTGTAGCTAAGCAGTAAACAAAGTGCTGTGTTTGGTTTATTGCTAGGACAGCGTGATCACAATCTGTGTGAAAGGAACCACATCCCCCAGAGGGGGACAGACAGACACACAGACAGACAGACACAAGGGCTCTGTTTCCCTCTGGAATTTCCCTTCTGCCTTGCTGGAAACGCAGGGGAGATGCAGGGATGGGGCTGTGGGTATCGATTCTCCCTCCAAATGCCAGAGGGGTTTGGGACAGTCGCAGGGCTCAGCTCGGCTTCCTGCAGCTCCGGGAGGAGCAGGGGGTGGGTTCCTGTGCTGCCCAAATTCCCCCTCTCTTCCCGAGGTCAGCCCGCACGTACAACAGGTGACACCGCTGGTCACAGAGTGACTGGTCCCCCCCAGCGATTTGCCTCCCAAAAATCTGAGAGGTGTGTGAAATTTTGTCTGTGAAATCTGAGTTTTAAAGTCTCCTGTAAAAGTCTACAAGAGTCCCAAAATTATTGCGATGCTGCAACAGCAGCAGGGACTTGGGCTGAAATGGGAGAGAGAGAGATGCAAGTGCATCCACGAGCAGCAGGTACCAAAACCTCCGGATTCCAGCAGGAACTCTGAGCCCTGCCCAGCAGAGAGGGGAACTCAGAGAAGTGATTAATTCATACTCATCTGGGCTTTCTCACTTGCTGCAAGTGCAGCAGAGAAAAAGAGGCAGACAGGGCACACGGCTCCTGCTGGGGACACAGACACGAATGGAGAGAAGCAAAGCTGTGGCGGGTTTCCCCACGGGAAAGGTTTCTGAGGGATGATGGGCTGCCCCTGCAGGGCTCCGGGCCGTGCAGATCTGGGCAAGGACAGCACAGACATCTCCAGCAGCAAATCCAGCGAGAAATTCGGGGGTGAAAGGAAGGGGGTGGCAGGAGCGCTGGAGATGCTGCAGCTGCCCGGCCGTGTCCCGTTCGCTCTCCTCCTCCTGGGAACCCTCCCTATTATCGGTAAACCCCAGCTCCAGCCCCGGAGAGCTGCCCGCTATCGGCTCCAGCCCCGGAGAGCTGCCCGCTATCGGCTCCAGCCCCGGAGAGCTGCCCGCTATCGGCTCCACCCGGTCCGGTTCCTGCCCCTGCTCAGTCCCGGCTCCATCCCAGCCCGGGAGCTCCGTCCCGGCTCCATCCCCAGCCCGGCTCCATCCCCAGCCCGAGCTCTCGCTGCCGGTACAGGGATGCTCGAGATGTTCCGCGTTTCCAAAGTGCCTTCTCCTCCTTCCCGACCCCTTTACCCTTCTCCGGGGACCCCCGGCGCCCCCTCCCCTCTTACCTGCGCCTTCTCGGGGTACCGGCAGGTCGCAAAGACCAAATCCGGGGAGGGGCTGGCGGCTGCGAGCCCCCGCACCAGCCCCAGCCCGATGCCGCGGCTGCAGCCGGTGATGAGCACGGAGCGGCAGCGCGGCTGGGCCATGCTGCCTCGGCTCGGCTCGGCTCGGCCCGCTCCGCTCCCGGCGCTTCTTGAGCCCACGCGGTTCTCAACCTGCGCCGAGCGGAGCCGGCCCCGCCGCCCCGGGCCCGCCCCCGCCGCGGCGCCTCCCCCGCCCGGCTCCGGGGCACGGAGAGAGAGCCCGGGGAAGGGGAATTGGTTCTGTCCCCTCCCAGGTCCGGGGCACGGAGAGAGAGCCCGGGGAAGGGGAATTGGTTCTGTCCCCTCCCGGCTCAGGGGCACGGAGAGAGGGCCCGGGGAAGGGGAATTCTCTTTTCCCCACCCGGCTCCAGGGCACGGAGAGAGAGCTCTCGGGGAAGGGGAATTGGCTCTGTCCCCTCCCGGCTCCGGGGTAGAGAAAGTATCTTTTCCCCCTCCCGGCTCCGGGGCACGGAGAGAGCGCTCGGGGAAGGGGAATTGGCTCTGTCCCCTCCCGGCTCCGGGGCAGGGAGAGCGCCCAGGGGAAGGGGAATTGGCTCTGTCACCTCCTGGCTCCAGGGCACGGAGAGAGAGCCCGGGGAAGAGGAATTCTTTTTTCCCCCGCCCGGCTCCGGGGCACGGAGAGAACGGTCAGGGAAGGGGAATTGGTTCTTCCCCCTCCCACAACGGCCCGAGCCCATCCCGCTCCCGGCTGGTTCCCAAATCCTGTTCCACCACTTCCAGAGCCCTGCGTGTGACAGCGGTGGCCGCAGAGCAGCCCCTGAGCCCTCTGACCCTCACTGTCGGCCCCACAGAACGGACAAGGGTGGACTCGCTCCCCCCGGCAGCCAGGAGCGAGCAGGAGAGGATTCAGCTCTTGAACGGGGGATGAAGCAGAGGAAGGAATGAATCCCCCTTTCTGAACTCCCCACGTTCCTGCCGAGGCTTTTTAGGGTGTGCCAGGCACCACATTTCTGTCCCTTCCTCGCTGTGGGTGACCCGGTCTGGAAATCACCACAGGATCCTGCCCGTAGCTCATCCTCAGCCCGTGCCTTCCCAGATCGATAAATAACCCGTTTGTTACTGATCTGCACACTCATGCAGAAACTGGTAATGGAGGTTTAAAGGCTCTGTTACACCTGTGAGAATAATATTGCTCTTTGCTTTCTTAAAGATCACTACACTTTCAAAACATTTTCATCCTTTAGAGGTCAAGGATAGACTCAGCCCTTGGACTTGGGAAACTGAAGAACAAAGATTTGGTAATTTGGAAAAATTCTGTGGAAAAGCCTCAAACAGCTGCAGTGTCTGCCTCATTTCCCTTTTGTTGGTTTAATTCTAAATACCTGTAACAGCTCCAAAAATGTACAGGACTTATTTATATTAAAGTATTGCTGCTGCATAGCTCGGGTTTGATGTTACATCACATTCCCAGGGGAGATGAGGATGACAAAATCCTTCCAGACATTTCTCCTGCCTCAGTGTTGGCTGTGAGCAGAGCTGAGCAGGGGCTTCTGGAATCCTGGACTCCTGCTCTCCCAGGCTGGGTTTTGGAAAAGCTGAGCCCTGAGCACACAGCAGCTGTGGCAGGCAGCCAGCAGCAAGGCTGCCCTGGAGACTGATACCTGGTTTTGTCTTTTCTTCCAAATAAAGCTCCATTCCAGCAACTTCTGTCTCACAAACAGCAACGCTCCTCTTGCCCAGGTGTTTTAATTTAATCCATCACCTTCCTTCCCTCATTTCAGAACAATTTCCTTCCTTTGTGCATTACTACCACTCTGGTGGGGTTGGAAAATCTTTTTTTTTTTTAAATCCCAAAACTCCTTAGTGACCTCTTTGTGCTTGGGATGTTGGCACAGCTGGGCTTGGCAACCTCTGGGAAGAATCCTCCGGGCTCTCACCTGGGAAAGCTTTGGTGACACATCTGCAGCTGTGACACGGTGAATTTACTGCTGGGTGAGCCATTTCTGGGAAAACATGAAGGATTATTTCCCAGCAAGGATGGGGTGGGTGGCCAGAGCAGGTAAGAGGATTTATCTGAGGAATGTGCATCAGCACCTGGCCAAGCCTGTATGCCTGCTGCCAGTCAGGTTTCAGCGCTGTCCCTTCAAAGAGAACATCCCAGGGCAGAAGGAATTGCAGGTGAACATCAAGAACAGATCAGAGACCACCCTGAGGGAGGTTCTGATCACCGACAGCCACGGAGGAGTCACCAGAGGTGGAGAAAACAAAGCCATAACTCACCTGAAGGGCTGAGAGCTGTTTACACACACAGGTGCACCTGGGGCTTTTTATTTCAGGTGAACTTCTGCCAGCTCCAGCCACGGGACCCTGCCCTGCTCAGCAGCAGCACTGACTCCTCAATGTCCCAGCAAAGCCACCACAGACATTCAGCCACCCCAAAACTGTCACCCCTAAATGTCCCAGCAAACCCCCTACAGATGTTCAGCCCCCGATGTCCCAGCAAACCCAGCAGAGATGTTGTCACCCCAAAATTGCCATCCCTCAGCGTCCCAGCAAACCCAGCAGATGTTCAGCCCACACTGTCCCAGCAAACCCAGCAGAGATGTTCAGCCCCCAGCAAAACCCAGCACAGATGTTGTCACCCCAAAACTTTAAACTTTCACCTCCCAATGTCCCAGTAAACCCACCAGAGATGTTCAGCCATCCCAAAATTGTCACCCCTAAATGTCCCAGCAAACCCCCTACAGATGTTCAGCCCCCAATGTCCCGCAGAGATGTTCAGCCACCCCAAAATTGCCATCCCTCAGTGTCCCAGCAAACCCAGGAGATGTTCAGCCCCCAGCATCCCAGTAAACCCAGCACAGATGTTGTCACCCCAAAACTTTCACCTCCCACTGTCCCAGTAAACCCACCAGAGATGTTCAGCCACCCCAACATTTTCATCCCTAAATGTCCCAGCAAACCCCCTACAGATGTTCAGCCCCCAATGTCCCAGCAGACCCAGCACAATGTTCAGCCACCCCAACATTTTCACACCCAAGAAGTGGCACAAAGCCCACGGGATGGGATTGTCCCCAGGCCCAGCTGTGCAAGCTCCAGAGATCAAGCCCAGCTCTTCCTCCTTGTCCAGGTGAGGAGGCCCAGAGCAAACACAGCTCAGGAAACTCAGCTGGGACCTGCCAGCTGCTCCTCAAGTCACAGAAAACACACTTTCCACCTCAAATCTTTGTGGATTGGGGGATTTTTATGTCTGGTGCCCAAAATTCTTGCCTTTAGGGAAATGGGGATTGAATTCCAAGTCTTGAAACTACTACAGTTTAAAAATCTCTTCATTTTGCACCAATTTCTTTCCTTATGAGTAGGCACAAGTGGTGTAGCTCATAAGAAACTCAAGTGAATGTAATAGAAAATCAAATACTTTAATGAAATTAGGGAGCATGAGAGTAACAGCTCAGATATACCACTAGAACTGATACTACTGGGCTGTGGGGCTCTGCTAATTGGCTTTTAAATGCTCTGTTCATCAAGCATGCAGACTGACAAACTACGAATTCTTCAGAGTGTCAAAGATCCTGAGTAAAGAATTTTCAACCACTTCAAATGGATATATAGGAAATGTCTTCTGAGCTGGTGGCCTGCACACAGCATTGCACAGATAAAAATATACTACTCTCAATGCACAGAGCTAAATACTTTCACATTTATCAGAATTTTCTACACAAGTATTTTTTTTTTTTGATAGAATTCAAGTTTTGAATTTTCTGTATATATCTTCACCTGTATTAAACAAATGCTTATTTACATTGTGGGTAAAGTGTAAAGGCTAGGAAGGCCATTTTTCCCATACTGTACTGTAACACTGCAAAATATATATACACAGAGAACCTAATATAGGCAACAGGTCTAAAAAAAGTCACCTCCCACCTGTACAACATCACCGAGCCAGCATGAACAGAGGGCATTGTTAGCACCAAACCACTCCTGGGGGGCTGAGGAGCTTTCCAGTTCCACGGGGAAGAACTGCTGGGCACAGCATTCCAAGGATGGGCCACGGAGCTGCTGCCTGCAGGGCTGGAATTCCCAACACTGCACTGGGAATCCTGAGGAGCAGGACAGGAGCTCCAGTGGGAGGTGACAGTGACAGCCCAGCACAGGGCACTCCTGGCATCACTGCCCGCCCTGTCAGTATTTCCTTTGGATTCAGGGATGAGCACAAACTGCTGGCTCAAGCCAGGGCTGGTTCACTAGCCAGATTAACCCTGCACAAGCCACGGGGAAGGAGCTCTGCTGGCAGAGGGAAGCAGCCCTGGCTCACCAGTGGTGCCAGAGGGAATTCCCAAGGGAAGCAGCCCCATCTCACCAACTGTGCCCAGCTGCTGGATGGAAATCCCTCAGGAAGCAGCCCAGGTGGGCGTTCCCTGGGGAAGCAGCCCCCAGCTCTGTACCTGGGGTGCCAGAGAGAATTCCCTCAGGAACCACTCCACCTCAACACAGGGAATTCCCCCTGGGAATTCCAGGAAGCAGCCCTGGCTCACCAGGAAGCAACCTGGTGGGCTCACCAGCAGGAATTCCTTTGGGAAGCAGCCCTGGGCAGGAAACCTCCCAGGAGCAACCCAGGCAGGGCTCACCAGCAGGAACCCCCCGGGAGCAGCCCCAGCAGGGCTCACCAGCAAGAATCCCACCAGGAGCAGCCCAGGAAGGACTCACCAGCAAGAATCCCCTCGGGAAGCAGCCCTGAAGGGCTCACAAGAAGGAATTCCCTTGGGAAGCAGCCCCAGCAGGAACCCCCCAGAGCAGCCCCAGGGCTCACCAGCAGGACCCCCTTGGGGAGCAGCCCCAGCAGGAACCGCCCTCGGGAATCAGCCCAGGAAGGGCTGCCCCCAGGAACAGCCCCAGCAGGAGCCCCTAGAGCAGCCCTGGGGCTCACCAGCCGGAACCCCCTCGGGAATCAGCGAAGGAAGAGCTCCCCCCAGGAGAAGCCCCAGCAGGAGCCCCCTCAGGAGGCAGCCCCAAAGGGCTTACCAACAGGAATTCCCTTGGGAAGCAGCCCCAGCAGGAACCCCCCAGAGCAGCCCCAGCTCACCAGCCGGAACCCCCTCGGGAATCAGCCCAGGAAGGGCTCCCCCCAGGAGAAGCCCCAGGAAGAGCTCCCCGCAGGAGCAGCCCCAGCAGGAGCCCCCTCGGGAGCAGGCCCAGCAGGAACCCCCTCGGGAGCTCCCCCAGGAGCAGCCCCAGCAGGAACCCCCTCGGGAGCTCCCCCAGGAGCAGCCCCAGCAGGAGCCCCCTGAGCAGCCCTGGGCTCACCGGCGGTGCCGGCTGTGCCCGGGGTGCTCTCTCTCCCTCTCCCTCTCGTAGCGGTGCCCGGCGCGCTCGTAGGAGCGGGCGCGCTCGTGCCGGTGGTTGCGGTAGTAGTGGCTCTTCTTCTTGTACTTGCCCGAGCGCTCGGAGCGCTCGCGGGAGCGGCTGCGCGAGCGGGACGAGCTGCGCGAGCGCGACTTGCGCGCCTTGTGAGCCGCCGAGTATTTGTAGTCCTTGGATTTCTTGTAGCCGCGCGCCTTGGAGCCCTTGTAGGCAGAGCCGTGGTTGAACTGCCTCGGAGGGGAATCGCTGCGGCTCCGCGAGCGGCTCTGCGACTTGGAGCCGCTGGACGTGGAGTAGCTCTCGCTCTTCCTGCGGGAAAAAAACAGAGCAAACATGGTTTTCTTGAGTTTGAAGAACCTCGTTCTGGATTTTGATGCTTTCTTGGATTTTAAGACCTTCCTTCCTCATTTTGAATTTGAAGAAGGTCCTTCCTTATTTTGAATTTTAAGGTCCTTCTATATTTTGAATTTTAAGAAGGGCCTTCCGTATTTTGAATTTTAAGAAGGGCCTTCCATATTTTGAATTTGAAGAAGGTCCTTCCATATTTTGAATTTGAAGAAGGTCCTTCCGTATTTTGAATTTGAAGAAGGTCTTCCCAAATTTTGAATTTGAAGAAGGTCCTTCCAAATTTTGCTGTCTCCTTGTATTTGAAGAACTTAATTCTGGATTTTGCTGCTTTCTTGGATTTTAAGACCTTCTTCATTTTGAATTTGAAGAAGGTCCTTCCTCATTCTGCATTTGAAGAACATTCTTCCTCATTTTGAATCTGAAGAACATCCTTCCATATTTTGCTGTTTCCTTGAATTTGAAGAACATCCTGCTGTATTTTGAATTTTAAGAATGTCCTTGTGTATTTGGAATTTTAAGAACGTTCTTCTATATTTGGAATTTTAAGAATGTTCTTCTGTACTTGGAATTTTAAGACCGCCCTTCAGCATTTTCAATTTTAAGACCATCCTTCTGCATTTTGAATGTTAAGACCTTCCTGCTGTATTTTGAATTTTAAGACCACCCTTCAGCATTTTGAATTTTAAGACCTCCCTCCTGCATTTTGCTGTTCTCCCACGAGAACTCATCTGGTGTCCTAAACTTCCACCTGGCTACAGTAAAAATCCTGATTTCCAGGAACTCCAGCTACAGCAATACTGCAACCAGCCAAGCTGGACTCAGCAGCTCACACTGCCTGGTGCCCTCAGCCTCCTGGTGAGGAACCATCAGAGCTGGCACTGGAAGGGACTGGGAGGGACTGGGAGCTCGCCCTACCTGTGCTTAGGGGATGCAGACCTCGATGGTGACCTTGAGTAACTCTGATCTCTGCTTCCACTTCGACTCCTGCTCTCTCTTCCTTTCTGGACACTGCCAGAGACAAAGAACTCTCAGTTATTTTGTTTTAATCCCTCGGGAGAGAAAATCAGCTGCTTCCTGGAAAAACCTTACCCATTTACTGGGCTGTTGGAGCTGGTTCTCTTGGCTCCCTCTGTTTTCCTTTTGGCGTTCTTCATGGCCTGCACAGGTAGGGGTGAAGGTTTATTTCCTTTAACCTCTTTTGGAGACTCTGCAAGAAGAAACCTTTGTTACCTCTTTGGAAAGTACCTGAAAGGATTTGAGGCTCCTCTCACCCCAAGTGTGTGCAAACACAGATCTGAACAAGTTCACAGCAGGCAGAAATTCATCTGAAACATTTCTGCCAAATATTGAAGTAACTGCAAAAAAAAGGCAGAAAACCCCCTCCTTTCCTTGCCCATTATTCAGCATTGTTTGAAAGGCAAACTGGGGAAGAAGATCAATGTTGTCTTCTGGGTGAGACTGCACCAGACTGGAAACTTTAACCAACAAATTCCTCACCCAACATCTCAAAATGTTACCCCTGCCAGAGCACCTCTGCTTCAATATTGCTTCAGCACAACATGCCAGTGGCAAGGATTTGACTTTATTACCAAATCCACATAAAAGAAACTCCCTGGCCTATATGGGTTTAAACTAGTCTTAATTTCAGACTAATTTGATTTTAGCTTTTATCTGATTCAAGAAATCACAAAGTTACAATGCTATTCAAACCCTGCCAGTTGAGTAGTGCTAGAAGCCATCTTAAAAAAAATCCCCAACAAACTCTAAACCACACTTGCAAATGCTTCCCAAAAGGGTAAATATCCATCAAAGATGTGAAAAAGTTATTTACCATTTTTTGGGATAGGGGAAAATCCCGATGTGTTATCCAAGCTTGGAACTCCCTCAGGTACCAGACCTTTAGCTTGTGCTTTTGCCTCTTCAATAGCCAACTTCTTCTTTTCTATTTTACTTTCCAGATCAGATAAATCCACCTGTGAACACAGGAGCACTTGTGAGAGCTGAATTTCCTGGCTACCCACTCCCAGGGAGGGGAATGAAAATCCAAGGAGTCCCAGACAGTGGCTGCTCTTTGTTCACTTCCAGGCTTGCAGCTGTGGTTTCAAAAAGGCTCAAATTTTCCAACTCCTGCTCTGAGCTGCAGCCTTCACTGAGGGCTCCCAACATAAAGAAGAACCAAACCTTTTTCCTTGTATAGAGCTGCAAGATTTTTAAGCAGATTTCTTGAATTTCTTCCTCGGTTGCTCCAAACAGTAAAAACCAATGTGGGCGATTTGGAAGTGGGATCTGAAAGGGAGACAGAGACAAAGCTCAGATTTCTCTCTCCTCCTGTTAAAAGGGCTTGAAAAAACCCCAAATCCAGGGCAGTGTGGCTCACCTCCAGTGTCCTGGCTGCCAGGTAAATGCAGGCACAGGCAATACTTTCTGGCTGGAACCTCACAAAGACATCTGTTCTCAGGCTGTCGTTCATGTAGTTCCTGAAAAACAGGAGAGCAGGACGTTGCAAGGCACTGCAAAGCTCTTTGGGGTTCTTTTTTTGGGTTTTTGACTTGGTTTTACTTCTACAAGGGCTATTTCTTTCTGCATTCAGTTACTAGACTTCAACATTATATTCCTGTAAATCTAAAGAGAAGCTGAATGATTTTACTAAAAGAAAAATAAAAGAGATAACTAAATTAAATCCCTCAAGGGGAGGGACGTGTGACAGAAACAAAGTCTGACTCCTGAAAATTCAGTGGTGAGAAGAGAACCAATTTTAACTTCACTTTTGCTGCTGGATCTCTACTGGCCTGCTCTCATGCAATAAACAAGTTCTTTTCATCAAGACAACATACAGTGTGCTCAGAAATACTCAAGTTATAGAATTTTAGGTTCACATGTCCCCCTGCAATAGGGCAGAACCAGGTGTCTGGCAAAAGCTGCAGCTCCTGGAGCAGTTCTCCCATGAAATGCAGTCCTCTTCAGCACAGGTCAGCTTCCAGTGGGGTTTAAGGGTCCATTTCCATCCAGAACAGAATTCTTTTTGATGCAAAAAGTCAGCCATAGGAGAAATCAGGGTGTTTGGGAACATCAGTTCAGGAGAACAGTCAGTATTCAGGCAGATCTCCTCTTTGGCACATGAAATAAGGTTTCCAAATTGTCCCATTTCAGTAAGGTTGCTTAAAATGAATATTCACAGAATGAGAAAACTGTAAAATATTGCACATATTCCAGTCAGTACAATGAAGCATTATGTTGTTAAATCTTAAATACACAAAGTAAATTCCTGTGAATCTGTCAGCTGATGTGCTTTAGAAGATCTAGACTTGAGAGCACATATGTCAATAAAATATCAGATGAGAAAAACTAAAACCAGACATAATAGAAGTCCTTAATAAGGTAATAATTAACCACGTGGGTACCCAGTATACAAGGATTCACTGACCCCCAAGACATCCAAAGCAGAGACCACAGGCCAGGCACCTGCAAGGTTTCCAAGGACAGAGAGGAGGGATTGGAATCCCAGGAGTTTCCAACTCCCACCTGCCCCAGCTGTCCTCAGCTCTTGTTTACACAAACAGCAACTGCTGCCCCAAAAAAAGCAACACTGACCATCAGCTCATCTTTCTGGGAGAAAGGAACTTCTAAACCTGCTGTTGTGTCCCTCTACAAAGAGAACACAAACCTTTTGGCCAAAGGAGTGATAAAGGAAAGGCTGACTTTGAACATCTGGAAGCTACAAAGGTTTTTTTTCTGATTTGCCAAATTGAGAACCATGGCAGCTTCCAAGTCTGGCCTCCTGCACATCTTCCCTGTGGGCTCAGTCAGACACAGGAGGAAATGAATCCTTGTCACAATAGCTTAAGAAAAAGGTAATGTTGTAAAAATGCACATTTCAAAAACCAAGGATACTGGATACCCACCAGTTTTTGGGTACTGGAAGCACCAAACACAGCACACAGATGTGTTATTGTAACCTCTGACCCCTTTCCCAGCTGGGGTAATTCCCTCCCTGCCCCTCCCTCCCTTCCATAACCAGCAGATTCCTGGCAGTCCAGAACTCCCATTCCACTGCTCCATGCAATGCTTCTGGGAAGTGTCTCTAAATATCACATTTTGTCTCCAAGCTTCACACATGTACTAGTTTTTTCACTTAAACATTTGAGGTAATTGTAGCTTTCAAACTATTCATTTTTTTGTTGTTAATTCATCCCTTTTAAAGATTTAAACCCCACCTCAATTCACTTTATCCTATAAGAAACACACCACATTTTAACAGTTAAGAGAAATAGAACATCAGAAAAATAAAAATAAAATCTCAGAAATTCAACGCTCAGGTTATCAAATATACAAACAATGAAAAAATGCAGAGTAAAAAAAAAAAAAATAAAAAATATAAGCACAAGAAGCAGTTGGCCAGTTACTCTACTATCATGTATATACCACCTGTCTAGAGCCAGCCTTCTCTTTGGAGAGCTTTGGGTTGACTGAAGACGGCAGCTATCCCTGCACCATGGGCAGCAGAGGAGAAGTCTTAGTCACTTACCCTCAGAGGCTACCCTTTGATCAAAAGAGTACAGAAAAGAAAAGTCAAAACTGGTTCTCTACACACAGCTCACAGTACCAGACAGTTCAGTCAGCAGAAATATGGTCTTTGGATTCACTAAAGGTGGTTTTTATTTTTATTTTTATTTTTTTTTAGACCATTGGTATTGTTAAAAAAGCATTGTGGTTTATAAAAAGCATTGTTTGGTAAAGTTTAAGATGTGAAATTTTACAGAAGCTTCCCACCCCCGAGCAAATATTTATTAAATGAGAGCAATAAGGCAGAGAACATTTCTTGGCAAATATGAATCCAGGCTATCCATCTATCCAGTCTTAGAAGCTGACATCTTGCATTTCCACATAGATAAAAGAAATTTATCTGTGCTGAGGTTTAGATACACCTGAAATCAAACTCAGGCCCTGGCAACAGACTTGAATTACCCCCAAGTTTTCCTTGAAGAAGACCCCAAGGGAACAACTCTAACCCCCCCCAAACCTTTTCCCTTCAGCTGGAAAGTGAGAGCAGAGAGGAGGGAAGTGAGAAGTCAGGGTGGAAAGCTACCTTACCATTAAAACACTGCCTCGAACTTAAGAGGCCGCTCAACATTTGGGAAGGAGTTTGGGGCACACCAAGGACAGTGGAGCTGTCTGGGGTGGCCCCAAGCACTGCTGAGCAATGCTGCCCAGTGCCTCAAGTGACATATTTCTGCTACTGCCCCTTCTGGTCTCTTAGAACAAAGAAAATCAACTTACCATGAGGTCTGGACCAGGTGTTGGTTACGTTCACATTCTAATACCTGAAGGTACATAACGATTATCTGGAAGATATGGGTCATTGAGTTATTAACAAGCATCTGGAGAGCCACCTGCTTATTTCAGAGGGACATCCATCCATCAGGCATCTGTGATCCTCTTTCAAGGCCTAAAACACTCCACATGAAGTGTTTGCACCATCCCCAGTGTTTATCTGACCTTCTGTCCTGCTACTCGGCCAGGCCTTGTCTCCACCTGCATTTGATTTAGGGATTTTTGTGGATGGATTTTCATTTAGGGGTTTTTGTGGATGGATTTTCATTTAGGGATTTTTGTGGATGGATTTTGTTCTCCTACAAACCTCACAAATCCTTTTTTAGCTGCAGCCTGGGGAGAAAAAGCTGCTGAGTGCAATCAGCAGTGAGGGAAGTTGGCAGTGCTTGCAGAGAACAGAGCTAACACTGTGCCACGGTTTGTTCAGCTCTGAGAGTTTTTCCTCAAGTTTGGAAGGAAAACAAGGCTGCAGAGGGGAAGAATAATGGCAGAATTCACCCCATTAACAAACTACAGCTGCCCCCCTGGGGCGGGTGACAAAAGGAAATTCTGAATGTCAAGAAACTCAAAAAGGCAGCTCTGAACAGGAGGTTTTTAAAGGAGAAAACACAAGATCCCAAATTGTGCTGGCACAAAAATACAAGTTCTTTTACCAGTTAAGGCACAATTTCAACATCTGAGGCAATTGTATCTTTCAAGCATCATCCACTCTGACACTTGATACTTTTATATTGAGCCTTGCCTCAGCTCTAGCCAAGCCTGAGCGTGGTTTTAACACACTCCAAACTGGCTCACAGACCTTTAATACCTCAGCACGCTCCCAGGAGTGACCACCACAACCCCAGGCCTCCAAATTCCTCCCTGCTTGGGGGGAATCTAAGTTGAGGTGATTTTTTTTCTACCACCAAAGCTACCTACTGATCCAATCTGCCTTCCAGGAATACTGAGCACCCGCATCCACCTCGCCGTCACTCAGCAGTGATACGAGAGCAATTAGTAAGAGTCTCTTAAATGAGAAAGAAAACATCAGGATGGTAAGAAACTAATCTCACTGAGTTCACTGATCATCGTGTGCAGTCCAGGCAGCCTCCTCAGAGCTTTACAGAACGTGAAACGTTGGTTATGTAGTGAATTTAGAAAGTACAAACCTTATGAGGGTGCTTCACGTGAACACAAAATCCCAACTCCTTCAACACTCTTCTTTCTGCCTTAATTATTTGATTCTTCAAGTTCACATATTCTTGATCCAGTATTAGAGGCACAGGTTTTCTGCAAGACAAGGCCAAACTCACAAGATGATCATCTTAAACCTTAAGGAAACCCAGGCTGAGTTGTTTCAAAATAATTTTAAAAAATCATTATTTATAACTTTAAAAAAATATTTATTAAAACAGGTCAGGTCACTTCACGAGATCCCTTCAAAATATTTTTTGATTTATGAGAAAGGGAATGATGCTGCTGTGAAGTTTAATAATTCCAACACAACACAGATAATCCAGATTCTTCTGAATTCTGAGCTTACTTTTTCTCCCTCAGGTGTCTGAGGCGATGGAACACATTGATCACGTCCCGAATGCGTCTGGGGGCTTCCTCAATTTTGGATGCCAGATGAACACAGGCCATGGAAACATGCTGAAAAATAAGCAGAAAACAGAATATTTTCTATGTTTTATTTCCAGTTCAGGAACTGAGCTCCTACAACAGTGTAAGGATGGATAATGAGGGGGGAAAAATGTGGTAAAACAAGAAAATACCAAATATTTGACAAAAATCACTGTTAAATGGCTTTGTAAAATCACATTTCTCTACAACTATAAACTCCAGACTAGCTCCTAACACTGATCACACCTCAGATAACAGCTTGCCAAGAGAGATCAGAAGATAAATATGGCAACAAATGTCATTTAATGCCTTCTTACCTCCATGGAATGCTTCACGAAAGACTTGGTATAAAAGAAACGCTGGAATAACACCTGTCCTGTAGCCATGGCCACCTAAAACCAGAGATAATCACAACAGCCATGAACAAAAGTACCAACTGCAAAGAGAATTTTTAACAGATTTAAGATCTAGATTAACTAAACGTGGGAGAAATTTCAATGGTATCTAAAGAAAACTAAAATTGCTGAAGTAATTAAATAGCCTAGAATGTTATCAACGCTTGAAATACTGCCTGCAAGTCAAATACAGACAGCAAATCCCAAATTTCTTTTATAAAAAACGTGAAAATATGCTCTGAGTTGTTAAATTAATAATAAAAAAAAACAAGAAAAACCTAATAAAACCAAAAAACGCAAAGTTATGAAAGTACGTCAGAAAAATATTTGCTTTTTGGGCGTGGAAAGTGAGGAGCAATCTAATCGCGTCATGATTTGCATACATTTGAATATGCTAAGCATCGCTAGTTAGAAGCTGCCTGGAAAGTTTTACGTTCAGAGAGCAACGAGGCTCTTCGGCCTTGAAATTCTCCGGGGAAACCGAAACCTTCCCGAGGTCACCACGGCTCTGAAAGAGCCTTAAGAAAATCCGCCTTTGCACAATCCTCACCCGGGGGCGGCGCAGGAAGGCGCTGACATCACCCGCTTCCGGCAGCCAGCGGCCGGGCGAGGCCGGAGCGGCCCCGGAACGACCCCGAACGACCCCCGGGCACCGGGCGGCCCCGCGGCCTGCCCGGCCGGTAACCGCGGGGCGGCCCCGCGGCCCGCCCGCTAACCGGGACACCGAGGCCCGCACAAAGGGCCCAGCTAAGTCCCGGCTCTCTCCCCTCCCCGCCCAGCCCCACCTGCGGCAGCCGCAGCAGGATCCCGGCAGCCTGGATGAGCTCGCAGCCGGTAACGCGCAGCTCGGTCTCGGTGTCGGGGTCCAGGCCGCTGCTCATGGACGGCGTGAAGCGCAGCGTGTGCTCGGGCAGCAGGCAGTTCTCCAGCGTAATCAGCACGCCCGAATACAGCCGGTCGCCGATGAGCACCGCGCCGGGACCCGGTACCGGGGCGGGAGCCGCGCCGGCCGCCTGAGGGCCCGCGGGGCCGCCGCCTGCCGCTGCCGCCGCCATTTTGTGCCGCCGCCGCCTCGCTGGCTCCGCGCTCCTTCTCCTTCCCCCACCAGCATCCGCCCGACGCCGATTGGCGGAGCGCGGAAGGACCGCGGCCGCTGATTGGCTGAGGGGCCGTGACGCACGACGCCGCCCGGGCCGCGCGCGGCGCGGTGACGCAGCGGCCGGGAATTCGGATAGGGCGGGGCCGCGGCGCCCTCAGAGCCGGGGCGTGAGGGGGCTGGAACACGGCGCTCTCCGAGTTAAATATCTTCGTTAGCTCCGTAAATAAACAGAGTGTGCGCTCACCGAGTTAAATATCTTCGTTAACTCCGTAAAAAACCAGACTGTGTACTCACCGAGTTAAATATCTTTGTGAACTCCCTAAACAACCACACTACGCGTGTCCTCAACGCGGGGCCCGCCGAGGTTCGTGTGTGAGGGCCGAGGTGCCGCTCCCCGCCCCGGTTGGGTTTTCCCCGTGCAGCGCTAGAATTTCGCCACACAAATTGTTTCCCTGTTGCAGTTACCAACAAAAAGATGTTTATTGTCAAGCCCTTAACAGAACAGGCTATGCTTGTCCTTCAAGCTAGGGGCTCGTGTCTGAGGGCTGATATCTCCCTCATGCTCTGGGCTGGTTTTTTGCTGTGCAGCGCCAGAACTCACCACAAAAATTGTTTCTTGCCCTAGGGGCTCGTGTCTGAGGGCTGACATCTCCCTCATGCTCTGGGCTGTTTTTTTGCTGTGCAGCGCCAGAACTCACCACAAAAGTTGTTTCTCGCCAGCAATTACCAAAAAATTACTTTTATTAAGTTTTTATGTGTGTCCTTAACACAGGGTTGTGTGTGAGGGCCCTCCCTCCATCCCCCGGCTGTATTTTCCCAATGAAGTGCCAGAATTAACACAAATTGTTTCCCCATAGCAGTTTTGAATAAAAATGTCTTTATTAAATCTTTAACAATACAAACTATGTGTATCTTTCACTCCCAGGCTCCACCTGTGAGGGTCAACATTTCCCCCCGTCCCAGCTGCATTCTCCCTGTTCAGAATTCACCACACAAATTCGGTTTTTTCCTACTAGCAGTTGCCAAAAAAAAACCAAAACCTTTATTTTAAGTCACTGTACGGCCTGACTGCTAACTTTGAAGTGTGCTTTTAATTTAACAGGTTTCAACAACAACAACAACACAGGGAAAGTACCATCAAGGAGCAGCTTCACACCCACACAATCCTCAGAGCATTTGTTCCACGTTTTCCACTCCAGCAGCAGTCCCGCGACAGGTTTGCTTCACAATCAAATCCCTGCTTCTAAAACACACACCCAGGCTCTGATATCAATAGTGGTGGTGCACAATACGTGAAAATATCCCCTCTGGTTCTTTTCCATCTCCCAGGGCAGCCAGGAACCCTTCCTGTCTCCTCCTCTGGGCTAAAGCTGCCAGGGACTTGAATGTCTTTGGCTCATAAATAGCCAAGTCAGCCAGAACTTTCCTGTTCAGCTCCACCTGGGACTAAAGGCAAGAAAAATTGTTGGTTAAGGACTGTGATTTTAAGGAACAACACAGCAGTGCTTAGTTTGAAATATATTTAATTTAAATAGATTTTATTAAATATAGTAAAAATTTTTAATTAAATAAAATTAAATTTATTAAACACTTTATTAAATATAAGGAACACTCTTTACTGTTTATATAAACACCCTTCATTAAGTATGATTAAACACTCTTAAGGATTAAGACCTGAGGTCTTAAAGCAGATTAACTTTTTTCTGCCCTGTGCAATTTGGAGCTGTTGAAGACTGTCAGACACTCCCTGGCCATGGATGTCTCATTAACCCACCATGTAAAAATTATTTCCTGATTTTCTCTAAAGTTTTTGTGGTAGAAACCAAGAACTGAAGAAAAATCTCTAATTTTGCCTCAAGGCCACGTGTTCCAGGTTAATCCACAGCATCTGTTTCAGCTCAAATTAAAACAGAATCACCAAACTGAAACAAGTTCCCAGCATATTTTAAAAACAAGGGACAATGGCACCAAGTTTCTGTACTCTCCACACTCACCAAATCACAACTGTAGTGAAAAGAATAAGGATTTCTTAGGTTTTTGGGGTTTTTGCTAACCCAAACTTTGTATTTTTAAATTTCTTGAAGTAAAAAGGAAAAGCAGCTGTCATTGAATGGCATCAAAAAGCATTTTAAAAGTCTCATTCCTATGTTTTGGGGACAGAACATGAGGTAGAGCCACAGTGTTCACCAGGATAAAAGGGAACAATCCATACAGGGAAGAGAAATAGTTCCTGAAGTGGATGAAACTGCTTTCACAAGCCTTTCATCACTCTAATTAGTAAGTAATTATCCTCCAAACCACATCCTTACCTTGACCAGGTTGCTTATGAAGGCTGGGTACTTCAAACCATGTTCAAGGGAAGCTGCTTCAATCCTTGTGATCCAGAGCTGAAGGTGTAAAAATCAATATATTGCATGACAAAACACTTTAAAATAAGCCCTTTGCCACGCTGGTCTGCTCACACTAATTAAAAACAACATTTTCATGGAATATCCTGAGCTGGAAGCGACCCACACAAAAATGCTGCTTTCAACTCCAACTTTTCTCTTCAATCCTTGTGATCCAGAGCTGAAGGTGTAAAAATCAATCCATTGCATGACAAAACACTTTAAAATAAACCCTTTGCCACGCTGGTCTGCTCACACTTATTAAAAACAACATTTTCATGGAATATCCTGAGCTGGAAGCGACCCACACAAAAATGCTGCTTTCAACTCCAACTCTTCACCCACTGTTTTTCAAAACCCCCCCAAGAGTAAGAAAAGCAGCTGTTTCACTCCTGCCTTGCTCCCATTTTGACGTTTCCACCCAACATTTTGCTCTTTACCGCTCTGAGGAATCTCTTCTTCTCCCTCCTGGCCTTGGTGGACTTCACGAAAGCCCTGCGCACGCTCCTCACCGCCAGCTTGTAGCAGCGGTTCTTCCTGCCACGAAAATGCTGTGAAAAAGCCCCCAGAATGGTCTTATTCAATTAGATTTAAATATATAACACTAATAAAGCTCATTTGCATTCACAGCTCTCCATAATAAGGATCACTGAAGCTTTCACAAGCACGCCCTAAGCCTTCGGCTGGGACGTAATGAAAATATTCTTCGCTTGGTTTTTGTCGTGGAAATATATGGAATATAATAGCATATGGAATATAATATCAAGGAAATGTAATTTTTATCATGGAAAACATGAAGCTGAGGAGTTGGAGCAGGGTGGAAAAATCTCAGTTGAGCAGAGGCAAAACCAGGCCTCACTTTGTGCCGTGGTTCTGTGGGAAAGGCAATCACAAAATCACGGGCAGTGCTTTCACCCAACACTGAATTCACGTTTATTCTCATTCCTGAGCTCCACTCTGTTGTGTCTGTATGAACACAGGGATGGGGCACGAGCCTCTGATTTATCAAACAGAAAACAAAAAATTGAATTTTTTTAATTTACAAGAAAATGTAGCCAGTGCTGCACCAGGAATTACTGGTGCAAAACCAAAATATTCTCACTTCCTTCAACTTCTTCTACCTCAGCATTACAAGATGTAATTTAAAGAATTTTAACATACAGCCTGGGATGCCCTTGAGAAAGGTTCACCCCTAGCCTCAGCACAGCAGCTTAAACTCCAGCAAAAATCCAAAATGCAAAAAAATTTCAAAATGCACTTGAGAACAAGGTTAATTTTCTTCCTCACCTTCTTTGCCCAGTAAAACAAAAAAAGAAAAAAAAACCAAAACACTCAGGAAGGAAACACAGTGAAGGAACGCCGTATTTAATTAAACAGAGACCACTTTATAACACGAGGAAAGCACAGAATGGTTTGGGAGGAAAAGGCAGCTCCGAGCCCACCCAGTGGGCAGGGACCCCTCCCTGCTCCAACCCCGTCCAGCCTGGGGCTCTGCAGGGATGGGGCAGCGGCTTGGGGACCCTGCCCGGGGCACAGGGCCAGGCCAGGGGGATGCGGGGACACGCCGGGGACCCGGCACTCACCCGCGCGTACTTGAGCACCTCCTGCACCCTCCAGAAGCGATCCGAGAGGCGGCTGCGCAGCCAGCGCGCCGCGCTCAGCACCACCATGGCTGCGGCACGGCGCCCGCCTGCCTGCCTGCCTGACCGCCTGCCTGCCTTCCTTCCGGGGCGGCACCCGAGCCCGCCCGGCCTTCCCTCAGCCTGCCCCGAGCCCGCCCGGCCTTCCCTCAGCCTGCCCCGAGCCTGCCCCGAGACTGGTTGTATTCCCAGCTCCCACCTCCTCTGGTGCTACAGCTCTGAAGTTGGTTATTGAATTTGCTGGCTTTGGCACAGCAGCCAGCGCGCCGCGCTCAGCACCACCATGGCTGCGGCACGGCGCCCGCCTGCCTGCCTTCCTTCCGGGGCGGCACCCGAGCCCGCCCGGCCTTCCCTCAGCCTGCCCCGAGCCCGCCCGGCCTTCCCTCAGCCTGCCCCGAGCCTGCCCCGAGACTGCCGGGGCTTCCTCTGATCCTACCCCCGAGCCTGCCCGGCCTTCCCTCAGCCTGCCGCGAGCCTGCCGGGGCTTCCTCTGATCCTGCCCCGAGCCCGCCCGGCCTTTCCTCAGCCTGCCCCGAGCCTGCCCGGGCTTCCTCTGATCCTGCCCCCGAGCCCGCCCGGCCTTCCCTCAGCCTGCCCCGAGCCTGCCGGGCCCTCAGCCTGCCCCGAGACTTCCTCTGATCCCCTTTCCTCAGCCTGCTCCGAGCCAGCCGGGGCTTCCCTGCGCCTGCCCCGAGCCCGGCCGGCCTTTCCTCAGCCTGCCCCGAGCCTGCCCGGGCTTCCTCTGATCCTGCCCCCGAGCCCGCCCGGCCTTCCCTCAGCCTGCCCCGAGCCTGCTCCAAGACTGCCGGGGCGTCCTCTGATCCTGCCCCGAGGCTGCCCGGCCTTCCCCGTTCCTGCCCCGAGCCCGCTCGGCCTTCCCTGAGCCTGCCCCGAGCCCGCCCGGCCTTCCCTCAGCCTGCCCCGAGACTTCCTCTGATCCTGCCCCGAGCCAGCTCGGCCTTCCCCGATCCTGCCCCGAGCCTGCGAGGGCTTCCCTGAGCCTGCCTCGAGCCTGCCCCCGAGCCCACCCGGCCTTCCCTCAGTCTGCCCCCGCTGTTTCCTCTGATCTTGCCCCCGAGCGTTCCCGGAGCTTCCTTCGGACCTTCCCCGCTGCTTCCTCTGATCCTGCCCCCGAGCCTTCCCGGTGCTTTTTCCAATCCTTCCTCACGTCCGTCCTCCGGTTCTGCCCCCGAGCCTTCCCGGTCCTTCCTCTGATCCTTCTCGGTCCTTCCCCGGGTCGTTCTCCCGGTTCTTCCTCCGGTCCTTCCTCTGGTGTTTCCTCTGATCCTTCCCCGAGCCTTCCCGGTTCTTCCTCTAGTCCTTCCTCCGGTCTTTCTTCCAGCCTTTCCCCCGGTCCTTTCTCCGGTTTTTCCCCCAGCCCTTCTCCCGGTTCTTCCCCCCGTCCATCCCCCGAGCCTTCCCGGTCCTTGCTCCGATCCTTCCCAGTCGTTCTTCCAGCCCTTCCTCCACTTTTTCCTCCTTCTCCCGATCCTCCCTCCCCCTGCCCTTCCTCCAGTCCTTCCCCTGTCCTCAACCCTTTTCCCAGTCCTTCGCCAGCCCTTTTCCCAGGTCTTCCCAAGTCCTTTCTGCCTCCCCCGGCTCCTCTCTCACAGCACAGTGGCTTTTCCCTGTGCTGGGCATCCTCTGCCCCAGCCCGAGGACAGCCGTGGAATCAAGGAATATTCTGAGTTGGAAAGAACCCACAGGGATCATCCAGCCCAGCCCCTGGTCCTGCACACTCAACAATCGCAGTCTGTGCATCTTTGGGAGTGTTGTCCAAGCCCTCCTGGAGCTCTTGGAGCTGTGCCCATTCCCTGGGGAGCCTGGTCAGTACCCCAGAACCCTCAGGGGGAAAAAACCTTTCCCAAAATCCGACCTAAACCTCTCCTGACACAGCTCCAGCCATTCCCTCAGGTCACCAGAAACCTTCACCCTCTGGCTGAAGAACCTTTACCTGATCCCAGCCCTCTGATGTGACCACAACGCCCTCGTCACCTGCCCGAGGTGTGACCCAAAGCAGCCCAAACCCACAGCTCAGCTGAGAGCAGGCACACACAGTGTGGTTGTACCAAAATTCCCTGGAAAAAGGAGCTGGGCTGCTTGGAATGTGCATTCCCGTAGCTCAGTGAGGGATTTGGGATTTTGTATCCCCAGCAGTGCTCCAGCCACCAGTGTGAGCAGATTTGGTGTTGTTTTCAGTGGCTGGAAGGATTCCCAAGTGGATAACAAGCATTAGAGCATCCTGCAAGGGTTAGGGTTAGAGAATGGGAGACATAAATTGAAAATTTATGAACTGTGCAAACCACAAGATGGTGCTGCCAGAAAATGATTCCATGGGAGCAGCAGTACTCGGCGTCAGAGAACTGATGGATTTTTCTGATGCTCTTTAATCATCACCACTTCCAGCATCTCAAAGCAATCATGCTCCTGTTATAAACTGCTCCATCATCAAGATCTTCCCCACTTCTGGGAAAGTTCTTGTCCAGAATGTGGAAATTTCAGAGAATTATGGAGAAATCTTTCTTCATATCACTGAGGTTTGTCTGACACAAAGTTCGCTCGGTTATTACAAGAACCACTAGAAAAGAAATGTACAGAACACAATTTTCAGACCTCCCTGAAAAGGTTAAAATGCATTTTCACGACAGCAAAAGAACTTTGGAAAGTTTCCCTGGATTTAGCAAAGCTTCTTAGAATTTATGGCACTTTTATGAATGCTCAGATTGTGTTTCACCACACCCTGTGCCATCACCAGCAGATGGTAAAAGCAGCTGTAGGATTTTTAGCTGCCCAGCACTGAGTTCATCTCTCCACGATTTAAGCCTAAAATTGATTTCTCCTCCTATAGATTTGGGTTTGGGTTCTTTCTCTTTGTGTGACTCATCCTTTTTTCCACTTCAAAGGCATAAATCAAATTTGAAAAATATTATGTCTTTAAATCTAACCAGAATTTAGACAGGCAGAGTAACCACCGAGACTCCCAGAGCTCCCTGACACTTGTCACATTTATGGTTTCCTGCACAGCTCCAGATTTTATTATTAACGCTGTCTCTGGCCTGTGCAGCACTGAAAAACAGGATGGATCCAGCAGTTATTTCCCCTGGGATGTCTGGACAGATCTGAGAAGAGATTTCACATTTTGCAGCTTGAGTGGAGGCTGCTGCCCTGCAAACCCCCTGGGAGCCATCCAGCCCTGGAGTGCAGGGAAGGAACAGGATGGAAATGGACTTGTCACACTCTGCTGTCTGCTTTAGAGGTTGTTTCTCTCTGTATTTTTTAATATCTCTCTCTTATTACTGCCACTGTATCTTGGAGGCTACACAGACATGGAGATGGCACTGAAATTCTTAAATAATATTGATCTTATGAGGAAGATGAAATAATTGATAATTGCTGTGCCTCCTCCACGAGAGTATCAATATGTTCTGCAAACAATAAAAGATGACTGCAGGGGACAGCTGATTTCTGAGGAATACAGTGATTATTATCAATTTCTCTAAGGTTGTTGTTTTTTGGTTTTGGTTTTTTTTTTTTTTTTTTTTTAATAGAGGGAGGATTTTTTAAAAATGAAAAATTGCAGAATAATTAACGGTGGAGAGGGACCATCTTGACCCGGGGATGGATGTTTGGAGCGTGTTAAATCCCATCAGTGGGGAGACAGATGTGAAGGATTGGCCAGCACAGAGAGCACTGAGGCTGTTCTGTAAACACAGCAGCCTTGCAAAGCTGAGCTCAGAAGGGACCTCACTGCTGGGTGTGAGTGGCTGCAGGCAGCTGAGAGCAGTGACACCACCACACGCTGCTCCATCTCTGCTGCACGGGGAGGGCAGCAGGGCTCGGAGGCTGGGAAACAGCTCCTGTCCTTCGTCTTCACTGCTCTCCTCCTTGGCATGAGACTTGGGCTGGAATATCTGCTTGGGTGAAGAGCATGGAAAGGTGATTTGAAGAAAAGGAACTGCCTGTGGGTGCCTAAACCTGAACCCGATATTCTGAGCACCTAAGCCTGATCTGCTGAACATTTAAGCCTGACATCCTGAACATCTAAGCCTGATATTCTGAACATCTGAGCCTGATTTGTGGAACACCTGAGCCTGATCTGCTGAGCACCTGAGCCTGAAATTCTGAACCTAAGCCTGACATCCTGAACTCCTAAGCCTGATATTCTGAACACCTGAGCCTGAAATCCTGAACCTAAGCCTGACATCCTGAACATCTAAGTCTGATATTCTGAACATCTGAGCCTCATCTGCAGAACACCTGAGCCTGATCTGCTGAGCACCTGAGCCTGAAATTCTGAACCTAAGCCTGACATCCTGAACTCCTAAGCCTGATCTGCTGAATGCCTAAACTTGATCTGCTGAACATCTAAGCCTGACATCCTGAACATCTAAGCCTGATATTCTGAGCACCTGAGCCTGAAATCCTGAACCTAAGCCTGCCATCCTGAACACCCAGCTGAGCTGGAAAGTGGAGGGGGATACCAAAGCCCACTGAGCAGCCCATCACAGCTACCACAGCAATCCTTTGGGACCTCTTGGGATTGTAATCCTGGGAAAAACAACAGCAAATTCAGTAGGATTCTGGATTCTAAACCAAAATAAAAGCTACTGCTAACCTTCCAGCAGATCTACTTTGGGACTGAGGCTGGGAAAAGCATCTGAAGGAAGCAAACTGTGCTGAGCAGGGCCTGGTGGGGCCCAAGGAGACCTTTCCTTGCTGGCTCCACGATGATCTCTCCTTGAGGGGTCCTGGCCACGTGTGGAAGAGGCAGAAGAAGCCTTTGCAAGCTCTGTTAGACCAAAAGCGAGGAAATATTTTTGGATAAGAGCGCGGGTTGGTGGATCTTCTTGAAGGATGTCTGGCCAGGACCCTGAGGACTTTGGAGCAGAAATCCTGTCAGAAAAATCCCGGATGATCCCTGGGCTGCCCCCGTATGACATGGATGAGCAGCTCCTTCCCAGGGAGCCCCGCAGCCCCTGGTGCTGCCTGGCCTGGACCCTGGTGATAGGAACCATGAACTCCCTGGTCTTCCTCCTGAATTTGCTCCTGATGTTTGTCATTTTCACCGTCGTGCTGCTTCCTACCATCGTGGTGGTTTA